AGAGAGAAAGAAAGAAAGAAAGAAATAGAGAAAAAAAGAAAGAGAAAGAAAAAAGAAAAAGAGAGAAAGAGAAAGAAAGAAAGAAAAAAGAAAGAAAGAAAGAAGGAAAGAGAGAGAGAAGTAGAAAAAGAAAGAGAAAGAAAAAAGAAAAGAAAGAAAAATAAAAAGAGAGAAAGAAAGAGACAGAGAAAGAGAGAAAAAAAGAAAAGAAAAGAGAGAAAGAAATAGAGAAAAAAAGAAAGAAAAAGAAAAAAGAAAAAGAGAGAGAGAAAAAGAAAGAAAGAAAAGAGAGAGAAATAGAGAAAGAAAGAAAGAAAGAAAGAAAGAAAGAAAGAAAGAAAGAAAGAAAGAAAGAAAGAAAGAAAGAAAGAAAGAAAGAGAAGGAAGGAAGTGTTTGGAAATAAAACGTCTTGAAGCAGTTGGAAAGATAGTTTTCTCTAGTAATAGGAGTAGTAGTAGTAGGAGTGGCAGTGGGGGAAAGTGGAGTGATGAGTAATAGCTGTGAATGCTTGCTTGTGTGTATTGTCTGGAGACTTGTGTTATTGGATCTTTGGATCCCCTAAACTGGGTATGGTTAAAAGAACCCAAGACTCAGAACAAATTCAACAGGGGGCAGTAAAGGTTGTGGATGGGCTTTCCAAAGTCTATATTGATATAGGCTTCCAAAATAAGGGAGATTCCTTGGATTCTTGACCTGGTCTGACTCAAAAAGAAGAAGAAAAGAAAAGACACATCTCAAACTGGTAGAGGAATTGCAAACTGAGATGGTAATAAGTTCAGAACTTCAAACCTGAAAGTGAAGAATTTATTCCAAATGGAAACCAGTTATTCCAGTCCTTGTTCTTTCCAGAAGCTATTATTTCTTCATAAATTGTTGTACGGGACTCACAGTCTCAGTTGTACTGGAGTCAGTGTACTGGGGTCTCAATTTACACTTCTCTGAATGATTCTAACATCAGGATATTCTTTTCTCCAGGAGGTGAGGGGACCAGAATGGCAAATTTTAAGGGCCACGCTCTCCCAGGGAGTTTCTTTCTATTGTTTGGCCTCTGGTGGTCAGTGAAATACTCGCTAAAACATATCAGCAGGACACCGAAGAAGAACGGTCACGTACAGTGGAACTTCAAACGAGTGGAGGTCATCGAAGGGGCAGCCAAAGTGGGATTTGCATTGATAGGTAAGACTCAGAATATGACTTAAGAAATTTGAGGGTAGCTGCTTATCGCTCTCCTTGCTTTGAATGTGTGCCTTTTAAGCAAACTAATCACCTACATCTCCAACCTTGGCAACTTTAGAATCAGAATCAGAATCGAGCTGGAAGGGACCTTGGAGGTCTTCTAGTCCAACCCCCTGATCAAGCAGGAGACGCTATATTATTTCAGACAGTTGACTATCCAGTCTCTTCTTAAAAACCTCCAGTGATGAAGCACCCACATGAAGCAAGCTGTTCCAATGAGTCATTGTTCTCACTGTTAGGAAGTTTCTCCTTAATTCCAGGTTGCTTCTCTCCTTGATTAGTTTCCACCTATTGTTTCTTGTCCTGCCCTCTGCTGCTTTGGAAAATAAGTTGACACACATACCCCTCCTCTGTGTGGCAACTTTAAGACTTGTGGACTTCAACTCTCAGGAATTCTGGCCGAGGAATTCTGGGAATTGAGGTCCACAAGTCTTAAAGTTGCCAAGGTTGGAGACCCCCTGACCTACATGAAAAAAAACCTGGAGGGCAAACTAAAAGTGAGGTTATTTGCATAACTCATCACAGTGCAAAATCACCCATCCTAATCCAACACTCTTCAAATCCTGGATTTCACAACCAGTGAGGTCAAACTGTGTAGGGGTTTATTTCTAATTAGATATTAAATTTACCACTAAGTAGGAATTAAATAAGACTTGTACAAAGGAAGTGGGCTTTTGCCATATGCAGTTTTGATCCCAAGTTGAATTAATAATGTTATAAATTCTGCTACTTAATTCTTTGGTAACCATCAAATTGTTTTAATGAATATATCTAGCCAATTAAGCAGGCAAATTCTATCCTTAACTGCACTGTTGTCTCAAGATCCACTTAAATTTATCATCTGCAGTGCACTTGGAGTTATTTGCTGCGGTTTATGGGTTTCTCTCCCCCCCCTTTTTTTTCCCCCCTGGTCATTACTGTTGGTTTTTTAAATTATATCATGTCAACATTTTGGAGTCAAAAAGAAAATATATTGAGCATATGGTTAGGCTTGCTTTCTTTTTAGCTAAAAGGATACAAAGTTTTGCAATCAAACAGAAGTCAGTGGAAAAATTACAACACTTCCTGCTACATACAATGCTACTTTAGTTTTGCTCGTGGTATTCAAGTCCAGGTAGTGCCAGCAAAGCTGATGGAAGCTCCACCTGTTTTTGATGCATGTCACACCTCAACTTTTTTTTAACTATACCCTGCAGACATCACTGGTATTTACCGTGTTACTTTCCCTTCAGATAAACCTTCCCTGACAGATCAACTTTGGTCTCTCTTGAACAGGGATTCTTGCTGAGCAGTTTGTCCCCGATGGACCCCACCTCTATCTCTACAGTGGGCAACCTCGAAGTTGGGTGAAGTTGATGAACTGGCAACATTCCACCATGTATTTATTCTTTCTGATCTCTGGAGCAGCAGATATAGTCACCTATTCCTCGACCTTAATGCCTATTGGGCTGGACCGCTTCATGCTTGGTATTGCACTTTTTGTGGAAGGTAGGCACAGACCAAGAGACAGTAAATACATGGGAAGCACCTTTGTCAGGTATTTGGGAAGTTCTAGGTACCATTTTTGTTGCACTCAAGGAGCAAGGTTTACAGGAGTTTCCTGTCACTTGGAAATCATTTGCGTCTATATGTTTGCTCCTTAAAGAAGACTCTCTACGTATCTCACAAAGCAGGAGTCTCAGATAAGACCTTCTCAGTGACTGCAGAGGAACTGTCCTGCTCTCTCAGCTTGGATGTCTCCCTTCTCTCTGGTTATAGCAATAGCAAGAGCACTTAGACTTATATACCGCTTCACAGTGCTTTACAGCCCTCTCTAAGCGGTTTATAGAGTCAGCATCTTGCCCCCAACAATCTGGGTCCTTATTTTACCGACCTCAAAAGGATGAAAGGTTAAATCAACCTTGAGCTCCGTCAGGATCGAACTCCAGTCTGTGGGCAGAGTTTCCCTGCAATACTGCATTCTTACCACTGCGCCACCATCAGTGGATTTAGTGAGAGTGCTCCAGATTGCACAACCATTTCCTCTGAAATGGTATATGACAGAGTTCCCCAACATTTCTGGCTTTGTGGACTGGCTGGTGGTGGTGGTGGTGGGGGAACTGGATGGTTCGTGCAAGCAGCCAGCAAGCACACGTACACAGCTCCATTTCTACGAACGGCATGCACGCGTGCCTGCTACTCACACAAATGGAGCACACAAGCACGTGCTCGCCTGCTGTTCTTGCAAGTGAGGATGTACATGCACACGTGCTCGCTGGCCATTTTCATGGCCCAGTTGCAAACCCATCACGTCCCATTAGTGGGCTACAGCCCACAGGTTGGGGCCTCCTGGTATAGGATCACAAGCTCGAACCAGGGGTTGGACTAGAAGACCTCCAAGGTCTCTTCCAGCTCTGTTATTCAGAATTCTGTATCTGGCTCCATGTTTTTTGCTTGTTAAATATTTTTTGTTTGTAGTTTTATTTTACCTCTGGCTTCTGTTGCAGGCTAATGACTTTTCATCACTCTTATGGTTTTATTTGGCCATTAGCTTCATGGAGTAGTGTCTGAAGACTCAAGGCATTGCCTTTATTTGCTTGTTTGTTTGGTTTTTTTTGCCCTACAGCAGAGCCCCAGGAGAACAATAAAACGGGTGCTTTATGCAGTACTCTTCCAAAACACTACCTCAAAATGTATTTCCTTTATTAGTGAGGTTTCCATTATTCCACTTTATTGTAAAGATGCTGCAGAATTGGTTTTCAAAATTCTGTTTCAGTCATTGTGAGCTTATCTGGTTATTGGCGAGCCTGAGAGTTGTTACCGATGTTGGTTTTGGTTATACATCTTATCCATCCTTCTGGAACTTCCACCTGAACTTCATTATGAGTTGAAATAAAGCAGAAGAAGCAGGAAAGCCAAAGATGAGTGGGAGGCAGGTTTGTATAAAAAAGGCAGGAGGTTCAGACACTTTCATCGTGCAAGGAAATTGCACCCGATCCATAAGAATTGCATTGTATGTAGCAGGTGGCAGAAAACAGGGCTGCTACTTCCCTATCTAGTCTTTTAACGGTCACCACCAAGATGTGGCTTGCCAGTTCAAACACAGGCCGATCCCATTAGTCTCAGGGGCAGAAGATCAGAAGCCAAGTGTTTCTTAAGCATCTATAAACATCTATGAACTGTTTCACACTTTGTTATTTCCTGCATTCTTTTTTTTTTTACACATCCGTCACTGAACACTGGGCACAAACAACATGAATTGGTTGTAAGGACCAGAATGCCATCACTAAAGCTACTGATGCTGGTTTGATGCAAGTCCTATAGGACTTCCTAATTTATGGGAAGGGAGTTAAACAGTTCCCAGGCAAGCTATAGATCCCACAGATACAACCAATTCTAACTCAGCTCAGGTCAAGAAAATGTTGGCTATGTCTTACATTGCCCAGGTTTCATCCCTGTAAATTATTTATCTCCAATTAATGCCTCATTGGCTAAAACCAGTGTCTGCTCTTTCCTAACATGGCTGATTATCTGAAAATATCTGATTATCTGAAAATAATGTGGTATTCCTTGATTATTTCGACGCACGCCGAGAATCTCACCTCTGGGCTTCTCTTGAATAAAACAACAGAAGCTAATCCAGATATGAGACTAATTTGTCTTGTAGCCAGACCTTTTAAAAAAAAAATTGGATACCTTTGATCAGGTATTTGAGAGAAATAGTTTGGTCATGTAATTTCTTCTTCCGAGGGCTGAGAGAGAGAGTATCTGTCTCAAGGTCGCCCAGCTGGCTTTGTTTCTACCTCAGGATTAGAACTCAGAGCCTCCTGGTTTCTGTCCTGCAGCCTTGGCCACATTGGCTCTCTCACAGTTTAATGCTGCTTATTTAAATTTCACTCAAAGTCTTCTGGGAGTGGAGGAGAGCTAAAGATGCACTGCCCCATTGGAGTTGATCCAAGCTAAATTGGATTTAACTGAAATCATCATCAATGCATAGGATTTATAGGGATGGCTTAAACAGGAGTGCCCTGTCCCACATTCTTTCTGGAATTCCGGATCATTCTCCTGCGGATGGAGGGCATGTATACCATAAACTTTGCCCTGAGGTTCACATTTTGGGTAGAACAGGATAAACCTGTAACGCAACTCAGTTTATTGACAGTTGCTTCATTTTTTGTTTCTCCTTTTTTACTGTCTTGTTAAACTGTCCACAAAAAGGGCTTCCACTGTTATGAAAAGCTAGAGGTATATTCATGCTTTAAAAAAAAAAAAAACCATGGCAGGCTGTTTTGCTTACAGAGAAAGTTGGTTTATTTGATCAAGATTATAACAGATATGTTATCTCTGATGATATTTAATGAACTGAATATGTTCAGGTTTGAGGTTGAGGTTTTTATGGATTTGTTTATAGGTGACAGATGAGATATGGGAACATACGGGAAGAAGAGACCAGTTGTTCTATTTTAAGAGAAGGTGATCTACTAAAATGGTGATACTTGTGATAAAGGAGAAAGTCTTTTCTTTTTAGTTGCAGCATTTTTATTTTCTTCCTTTTCCAATTTTTTTTTGCACTTTTTCTTTTTCTCCTTTTACTCTCCTTTATGTGTATTGTTTTTTTTTTTATTATTGTAAATTGTAATGTTTAGTGAAATTACTACGAAAAATGTTAAGGTACAAAGGTCTTTCTTGAAAACAATAGCAGTTTTGAACAACCTCTGCATTTTAATAGGCTTCCTCTTCCAATATCACACCAGTCACCGGCCAATGCTTGATCAACACATCCATGCCATGCTCCTGACGGCCATCTTTGCTGGCGTTGCCACTTGCTTCGTACAAGTCTTTGTGCATCACAACTTGGTTTTGGACTTATTTGCAGTCAGCCTGGCTCTCTTGCAAGGAACCTGGTTTTGGCAGGTGGGCTCTCTTTTCAGTTTTCTTATTAAATTAGCTTGGCTGTTGGCCATGATGGAGAAGCTAAAATTCAAGGCAACTCATGGGAATCCCTTTAAATCTACTCTATAAAGT